AAAAAAAAAAAAAAAAAAATGTGGACACGAATCCCCTAGAAAACAGCTAAGGTGCTGGCCACAGAAACCCAAGAGCATCTCTGGGGCCTCCTCCCTTGCCTCTACCCGCCCCATGCCAAGCCTTTCGGTTCTCTGGATCTGTGATGCACAGCCCCACCTCTGGGTCTTTGCGTGTGCGTCCTGAGGAGAGACTTACGCTCTGCACACCCCTCTGCCTGCCCGTTCTTCCCAGGAAGCCCTTACTGACCCCTGGCTGAGTCATGTGCCTCCTCTGGGCTCCTTCAGCCCCTGGCTTCCCCCATCTCAGGGCTTCTACACGTCCCACCTTTACGAAGCCAGGCTCTCCATGGCCGTGGCAAAATGTGGCCTGTGGGCTGCTGGCCGAGTTAAAATAGGGACTGGAGAGTTGCTGAGGGAGGGGCCAGGACAGATCCTTTCTGATTTGGTGACGCCTCTCTCCCTGCCCTGGTCCCTTTTCTTGCACATAGAGAGGGTGGATAAAAGCAGGCTCAGGACAGTGTGTGTCCCACATGCTGGGTCCCATGGTTTTGGCTCAGTCTCCACCTTGCCCAAACTCAGGGCCCCAGATATATGGAGCAAGGTCTAGATGCCTCACTCTTGGCAACTTGGCTACCTCTCGTGGCCATGGCACAACAAAGTCCTGGAGCAGCCCAGTCCCCGCACTTTCCTTGAGGACAAAGCATAGCTGTGCCTTCTGTCATACACAAAAGAGGTGGCTAAGCAGACAGATGTGTAGCTACAGTCACAGGACGGCTAGTAGAGAACTTCAATCTCGGGCACTTAAGGCCAGGATAACACAGAGACTCGTCCCATGGCCTGAGACCACAGCCACCACACGTCACTCCTCCGCCACCCTGTGGACTTCTTCCTAATGTGGCATTGCTGGGCATCAAAATGAACTCCAGCTGGGCTCACTGTCTGAGGAACACGGGATGGAGCGGGGCATGGCCCAGAGGAGCCGCCTGTTCCAGTCTCTGCCCACGGTGAAGACCAGGGTAGGTGAACCTATAGACTTATCCTTGGCTCCTCTGCTGGGGCTCACGATGAATGAGGCCAGCCAGGCAGTGTCTGTACCTACCTGGACCTCAGGGTTGATGTGAATCCGGTACGCCTGGGCCTTGTCATCAGTGGCACCGGGCCAGCTCCTGCTCTCGGGCCTGTGGCAAGAATTGCAATGGTCATGCACATCTGCCCAGTACGCTCACCATGCCAGGAACCAGGACAAAGGGGCTCTGAGCCCAGAGTCACTCAGGACTCAGCCCACGCTCTTCTGGGAGAAGGGCACCAACCCTGTGTTTTCCCCAGTACTCCAGTGTGGCAAGGAGCCACAAGTCTAGATCTGCCCCCTCCCGGAGCAGGGCTGTGGGCACCCTTCCCTGCCGACTGCCCGTCCCTGTCTCATGAGGTTCTTGAAGAGAGGTGGCCGCAGGGGCCCCACAACTTCCCCACTCGTCCATCCGTTCCGTGGCCTGTAGAAGCTCAGCTCAGAGGCTCTGCTCAGGCAGGAGCAAGGCTGAACACGTGGATCGGCTAGGAGCTCATCCCCGCCTCCCTCAGCCATCCTCGGCCTCTACGCAGGGCTTGGGGTCGGCCCTCAGGGAGGTGAAATGGAGGTTTCAAAGGGTGTGCCTTCCCTCTTGCTGCTGCCCCACCGCAGCCAGCAGAATCATCACTACCGAAGCTGGCCTAGCCCAGATGGGAAACAGGCCATTAGGAAATTCCTGCTTCGCCATAGAAACCAAAAGCCAAACACCACTCAGGAGGGAGAAAAACATCGTAAACCTGCCATAAGCAAGGCGGGCAGGCCTTGAGGCTGTGGGCTGTGGTCCAGCCCTGCCACTCAGTAGCTCCTAGCTCCCAGAGAGCACAGGCTGGAGGGCACACAGACCCTGGGCTGCAGTGGGGGTGGGGAGGAGTCCGGTTAGAGGAGAGTGAAGTGAGGACCCCTAAACAGGAGGCCTCCTGGGGCTTGCTGGGGCCTCACAACTGGCCTCACAGCTTGAACCTGTTTCTCTGTCAGCTGAGGGATTTAATGATCCCTTTATAGCTTCAGTGTACACTAACTGTACTTCCTCACCTCGGCCATTTCCCGCTCCCTGCAGACTACCTCTCTACCCAAAGCCTTCAGGAGTCCCTTGGCATCAAGGTTCCGTGAGCCCAGAGTAATCCCTTCCCCATGTGGCACCTTAGCCAGGCACCTAAGAGACTGCCCCCACTCACAGCTCTAACGGATATGTTCACTCCCCAAATGGCTAGGACACACCTGGGACATCCCACGTGGCTTTCTAGCCTGGTATTTCCCTGAATTCTACCAAGGAGGGCAGTCCAAGCCTGTGGTCTAAGGGTCAGAGGACAGCAAGTGCCCAGAGCCATGAGAGTGGCCCAAGGCATCAGGTGAAAAGGAAGGACTCGACAGCCTTCACTCCAAAGTCTAAGGTCTTATTCAGACCTGCACTTCAGGCTGGATCACATGTGTTGGGCAACAGAGACCCCGCTGCAGCAGGGCTGACATGGATGCTGGGCAGGTCCTGGACCTCCAGAACATGCCCACACAGTCTGGGTTAGCTTGGATTAGGGTTGGCCTGCTTTGGGAAGGGAAGCTGGGTCTTTACTGCACGTTTTACTCTGTGGGCAAATCCGCAGGGGATCAGAGCTCTCTGTAGCAGAGGCAGGCAGCGAGGCTGGCCTGGGTACAGCTGCTCACCAGGCTGGTCCTCAGGGGCACCCAGGGTGCGGGTGGGTCTGTGGGGCCCAGGCACAGGTCCTGCAACAGCTGGCAGATGGGGCGCAGGAACCCCACAGGGGTGGTGTCCCGGAGGAGGAATGTTGGGTGAGCATCAGAGTGGCCTGTGCATCTTGCCCCCCTAGAGTCTGCATGTGTGAGGGCAGGAGGTAGGGGTGAAGGCAGGACTTGGGATTTCACTCTGACTGAGCAGATCGGGACCCTATCATCCCTCAGTGCCCGGATCTAGAGATGAGGGAGGTCAGGGCGCAGACAGCATGATTCTCAAGTACAGAGCCAGCCTGAAACGGAGCTCTGTGACTGGAGAATGTATGTGCTGCCTACTCCAAGGCCACATGGCAGCTGGAGACTGTAACACCCAGAGTGCAACAGGGCAGTGGATCACTGGCTCCATCCGTGCCTGGCGTGGAACAAATGACCGGGAAAGGAAGGAAGGAAGGGGGACCTCCACCCAGCCACCCTCTCGTGACATCATTCTCTCTAGGAATCTCCTGACTCAGGCCCCTGGTGAGCCTCCCCCAACTCCACCACCGACGGGGCTGCCCTTGTTCAGCCAGAGCCAGAGCCGGAGGTGAGTCAGGGCCCAGGAACCCAGCCAAGGTGGGAGGCCTCGCAGGCCACTTGTGGGTAGAGCAAAGCTGACACTTCCCCCAGCGCGCAGTCCCTCAGTCTGGCTCAGGGTGATGCATGTGACCTTGTTTTATGGGAAAGGAAACCCAGGCTCACGGAGGTCATCTGGGTACCTAAGATTGCAGTCTGGAAGAGTCCTAGCTCCACTGAGCTCCTCGGCCGGGTGTCCTCACCGTGTGCCAAGTGGAGTGGGGAAGGCCCTGGACTGGCAGCCGAGCCTACTCCGTGCCAAGTGCACAACCTGAGCCCAGCCCGGACCTAGTCTTGGGCCTGGCACAAATAGGCCTACCTCATAAACTCTCTCACCGAGTTTAAAGGCTCTAGGCCAGCGGCTCACCTCCACCCTGCCAGCTCTAAGGCATGGTTAGTTATGCTGTGGTTTTGGAGAGGTTTCACCCACACAATTCCACAGGGGGTCGTGGAAAGTCCCTGTTAACTGGGAGCACGGCAGGCTGAGCAGTTTGTGACTTCTCCAGACCCAGGTGGGGGGAGATCCTACGCAGCTGGGATTAGCCCAACAGCCCGTCGGAGCTGAGTAAAGATCTAGCACTGAGCAGGGCAGGGGGCAGTGGGCCTTTCATCCTAGCTCAGGACCCCTGTCCTCTCCTTTGAGATGGGCTGCACAGCACGACACAATTTACGGCAGGAAGACTGTTCCAAATCCAGATTCAACCAGAGCAGAGGTGTGGGCCATGGTGGAGACAGTTGAGGCAGGGCAGCTGCCGTGTGGGGCTGGTGGCAGTGGTTGGCCCAATAGAGATACTGGAGTCTTCAGGGATAAGAGAGAACTGATGTCAAAGTTTGCTTCCCCATTGCCTCACTGTATGGCTTTAAGCACTCTCACTAGCCTTTCTTTCTTTCTTTTTTTTTTTTTTTTTTTTTTTTTTTTTATTTTGAGACAGGATCTCTGTGTAGTTCAGATTGGCCTTGACTTGCCATGTAGCCCAGGCTGGCTTTGAACTTGTGGTGGTCCTCCTGCCTGTGACTCCCAAGTGCTGGGACTATAGGTGTGCACCACCAGACCTGGCTCACTAGCCTTTCTGAGCCTCAGTTGGCTCATCTGTAAAGTGGGGCCTCGATTAGGGTTTTTTTTTTTTTTTTTTTTTTTTTTTTTTTGAGTCAGGGTCTTGCTATACAGTTCAGGCTGGCCTTAAACCCACTATGTAGCCTGGGCTATCCTCGAACTCATGGTAATCCTCCTGCCTCTGCCTTCTGAGTGCTGAGACTATAGGCATGTGCCACTTCACATGGCTTCATTAAATTTTCTGATCTTTTTTTTTTTTTGGCATCAGGGATCAAACTCAGGACCTTGTGCTTGTGAGGCAGGTGGTGGAACCACTGAACTAAATCCCCAGCCCATCCATTACTTTTTAACTTTTTAAATTCATTGGAAGATAAATGCTCTGAGATGATCATTAAGATGGTCACTTACGGGGAGGGGAAGGGAGGGAAGCAAAGCTCCAGAATTGGTCTCATTTCTGCTGCCAGCAACATCTGCCTGCCTCAGCGCATGTCTAGTCTTGAGTGGAAAGGGATTTCTCCCTGTGTGAGCTATTCCAGCTCTTATCAGTGCCCTCCAGGCCCCCATGACAACACTAACCCCAGGACTGGACTTGGATGAGGTGCCCGGGAGCTGAGGCAGACAAGCCCAGCTCACCCAGGATGAAGGCTGCTCCCAACTGGCCCTACTGTCTCCTCCACCATCCTGCCCAGCCCGCCCCAAGTGTACCTGCTCACAGAGAGCGTGAGGTGATCATGGCAGCCTTTGATGCGGTTCTGCGCCTCCAGGTGTGTCATGAGTTCTGTGCTCTCACCATTGATGGCCTGGATCAGGTCTCCGGGACACAGAGCAGCCAGCGCGGCCTTGCTGCCAGCATGGACCTTCGGGCAGACAAGACAGATGGCTGGCACAGTCCTTACATGACCTTCTGCTCTAGGGCGTCTCCAACCTTAGCATCTGCCCAGTGTGGACCTGCCAGGAGGGACTGGTGGGTGGGCAAGAGAAGATGCTGGCTGAGGCCCCCTTGTGGCTTGCTGCAGCCTCTGCTTTAAAAAACCCAGCTCCAAGTTGGGTGTGGTGATGTACTCCGGTTCACAAGTTCAAGCCCAGCCTGGGCAACTTAGCAAGATCCTGTCTCAAAATAGAAAACAAACAAACAAAAAGGCCTAGGGGTGTAGCTCAGTGTGGAGGCAGGCCCTGGGTTCAGCCCCAGCCACCAAGGCCTGGTGGGATTCAAGGGTCTGGGAGGATGCTGTGGGGGACTCAGGGACACTGGACAGTGCACACTTCCATGCTTTCCACAGATGGTGCTCCCTCCACCTGGAACACTCTTCTTTGACTCCCACACCTCACTCACTAGCTTGTTCCTCCTCCTGCAGATCTCAGCAGAGACCTCTACTCTGGCAGTGTCTCTGCCCCCTGCATTAACACTTCATTACAGTCAACTGGGGGCATCTACACATCAGTTCCTCAGCGAAGTCCAGGGCTGTCCAGTTCTAGCAGCCAGCCTGAACTTTGGGGTCACAATTCTACCTCTGCTACCCTTTCAGGGCTCCCAAGGTCACTATCAGCCCCAGAGTCCAGCGGGGATCACATCTGGAGAGCTCACGATGCTGATCCTTTGACCAGGGCCATGTGCAGGTCTGGTGAGGACTCACAGAGATGCAGGGCAGGCAGCCTGGGGGTTGCAGGGGCCCCTTCACTCAGTCTCGGCCCCACCCCAGCCTCTCCGGAAGTAGGCCAAGGCACCCCCGTTACCCAGGCTCTCCAGTTAGTGTCCCACTCCCATGGGTCAGGGGCTGCCAGTGACCTCCACCGTACAGTGGGGTGAGTTCCTGGAAGACCAGCCAGGCTCAGCTCAGCTAGTTTATCACAACAGCAAGTGAAAAAGCTGAGGTGCTGGCAGCTCCTTGACTTCAGGCCTGGTGTGGGTCCTGCCCCACTGACCTGCCCCAAGGAATGGTCCTCGTATGAAGCATGGTGTCCCCAGCCCACCACTAAGGTCCACTCACAGACTGAGGCACCTGCCCAGGCTCGTCCCACAGCAGGTGGCCAATGGGCACAGTTAGTCCTCTCTGGGCCCTGCTCTGGGTTCCCACCCTGAATTGATACCTGCTTTGGGCAAGCGGCTAGAGCCGGTGCTGTAGCCGTGACTAGCTTGTAGTGGCCCATCAGTCACTGGGGAAGGCCAGCTGTTCCCATCCTTACACATGAGGAGGAGGGGCTCAGGGCACGGGGGACTTGTCCTAGTCCCCACCACAAAGGTCTCCTCCTCGGGGGCAGCTAGCAGTGAGATGACTCACTCGGCACAAGGGGTGCATTCAGGTCCCTGTGGGCGGAGGAAGTTCTTGATGGGATGGCTGGGGTGCAGCCAGCTCCCTTAAGCTAGGGGCGTTCTGGTCAGGGAGGGCACGAGGCCAGGAAACCGTGACTCTCCCAGCCGCCCTGACGTGCTCTTGCTCATTAATTCACAAGGCAAACCCATCTCCTAGATGAGAAAATTGAGGTCCAGAGAAGTGCAGAGAAACAATTTACACAGTAAATGGCTGAGTCAGAATTCTAATCCAGGCCAAATGACTCCAAATCCAAACTTCAGTTCTTAACTACTGTGCTTCTGTGCAAAAACGGAAAGAAGGAAGACAGACTGTCCCAGAGGAGACTGGATCTGTAGGGTTCTGTGGGCCCAGACGAGGAGCCAGCGTTTCTCTGGGTGGCTGGGAACCACAGAAGGTTCCAAGCAGGAAGTCACAGGACAGAGCTGAAAATCAAGCTGATGCTGCTAACTACATCAGAGTGAAGAATAAACACAGGGAAAGGAGATGGGCGCAGTGAGGCTGAGAAGTTAGAGCCTGAGTCGCCTGTCACCCGTAGCAGCTGCCCCTGCCCCACCCTGCCCAGTGCGGTGGCAGTCTGGGAGCCTCAGGGGACGCAGTCCATGCGATCACAGGAAGCTCTCCACGGCCTGCTTCCCGGTATGGTACCCTAATCCCTCTGAGCCTCCGTGCCCGCATCTACAATGTGAGGTCAGAGAGGTCCTTCAAAGGGCTGCAGCGTGGACGACTGAGACAGCTGGGGGTGCATGAACCCCCCCACAGGAGGCTAGTGGTGCTCACTGGAGCCTGGGGGCCGGGGAGGTACTGGTACCAGTGTGTGTTGGGCAAGGCCCAACGCACACTGGACTCTAGGAAAGGCAGCAGTGTGTCTGTGGGGAACGGGCCCTGGACAGTGTTCGTCAGGATGGCTGAGGCTTCCTGGAAGTGCCTCAGCCCTGTCTGTATGAGGCTGAGGCTTCCTGCTGGGTCCTGGGTAGGGCTGGACCTCCAGCCCTCTGGGTAAGGACATTCCCACACATCCTCAGGCCCATAGACTTGCCCCTCAGGTACCTACTGGGCAAGCTGTGGCCTGTGCCTCCGCAGCCCTGTAAATCCTCCCAGATCCCACCCAAACCCAGGCTCAGTCATCTTGGCTCCTTGGGCCTGAGCTGCTGCCGTGTGACTCTGTGGGACAAAAGAGGGGCTCTTCTAGACACACCCTCTGCCAGACTGTCTGTCTGCCTGCCTCCCAGGGTCCTGCATCCCTGGCCAAACAAGGCCACTGCTGCTCCTGTGACGTGAGAGGCCTTTCCTAGGCAGGAAGGCAGGCAGCGCATGGGCAGCAGATGTCTCAGCTCCCTGCCGCCTGCGGCCGTCAGCCCCTGCCACTGAGCCTGTCAGCGGCCTCACACCCGAGTGCCTGGCCTGCTGGCGGGCCTAACACTCCCACCAGCCCTCTCCTAGCAGGAGGACACATAGGCACGCACCCAGTAGGGGTCCTCAGGGACACAGGGGTGGGGGGGGGAGGATGAAAGGCTCCCGGATGTCCTGAAGGCCCACCTCTCCTGGCCCTAGGGACCTGGTGGTGAGGGCAGATGTGGGAAGTCTCCTAGTACAGCTGGTCCTGCCCGTCACCCTGGGCCCCCAGAAATGGGATTCTGTGGATCCATGCTCCACCCGGTGACCACCCCCTCCCAAGAACTGGAAAGAAGTCTCTGAAACTTGGCCCAGCCCCCAGGGTGAAAAGAGGGAGTAGGCCTGGAAGAAGGTGGTTGTCAGTTCCCCCAACACAAGCCCCAAATACCAAAGCCGAAAGTCTGTCCTGTGTTCCTTCCGAACTGGAGCAACCAGGGGCAGGGCTTAGGTTCTTCTGTCCCCCAGGCTGGGGGTTTCCAAGGGCAGGGGCGGAGCCCCTCCACACAAGGGAACTGCAGGGTTGAGCAGGATTGTCTCCGCCTGGGTACCCTTGGAACCAGGCTGAGTCTCTGTCCCCACTCCCTGCACCTCCGAAGCTCTGTGCCCCTCCTCTTCTTCCCCTTTCGCAAACCTGGAGCAGGCATGGCCCCCGGGAGCCCCAGAACCTGGGCTGAGGACACCCTGGTACCTGGCCTTGTGCAGCCTTGTAAAGCGGAGGTCTCACACCTCATAGTCAAATCTCCGCTTTCCCTGCAAGCCAGAGATCCCGGTCACTTCCCCTAAGGGTGACTGAGGTCACAGAAGAATGGGGAAGAAGTCCAGAGTGGGGAAGTGAAGAGGCTTCTCTCAGACTCCCAGAGGACCCCAGACCACGCTGGGGTCAGTCACCCGGCTCTGCTAGCAGTGACCTGGGATAGTGGAGGGGACTCCTCTGTCACTGTGTCCCCAATCTTCAGGCAGGGTGGAGTCTGAGGAGAGTTTCTGGGTCCTGTAGATCTATCTAGTGCCTGGGCCTATATCTCCCTGGCCCACAGTGACTCCCCCAAAAGAAGGCCAGGGGGGAGGGGGCTGGCTGGGAACTCTTGGGGGGAGCAGAGCAGCAGGGCCTGCGGGAAGGGGGTGGGGCAGTGCTGCCCCACTGGAAGCAGGCTCGAGCGTCTCCCGGGCCAACCCTCCGCTTCCAAGCCTCCAACACGTCGGGGATCTGGGTTCGGGTGAGCCACGAGGACCGGGTCTCAGACCCAGGACCTCCCCGCCGCCCCGCGGCCGTCGGACTCACCCGCGAGATGGTGAGGGGCGCGCTGAAGTCCCGGCCGCCCAC